CATCCTGCCCGCCTCTGAGTCCTGGTTTGGGATTGGTGGCTGTGCAACTCTGCACAGGTTACTTAGCCACACTGTGCCTCAGAGTCCTTATCTGAAAAATGGGGGTGAAAACTCGTCCCCAACTGTATTAGTTTCCTACTGCTGGTGTAACAAACTACCACAAACTTAGTGACTGAAAACAGCATAAATTTATTACCTTACTCTTCTGGAGGCCAGAAGTCCTAAGATCAAGGTGTTCGTAGGGCTGCCTTTTGGAGGCACTTGGGGAAGATCCATTCACTTGCCTTTTCCAGCATCTGGACGCTGCCCACATTCCTCGGCTTCTGGCCCCATCCTCCATCTTCAAAGCCAGTAGGGTAGCATTTTCCAGTCTCTCTCTGACTCTGACCCTCTTAGCAGGAGCCTTGTGATTACGCTGGGCACACCAGATAATCCCAGATGCTACCCCATCTCAAGATCCTTAATCACGTCTGCTAAGTTCCTTTTGCCATTAGCCTTTTCTCGGCTAAAGAATGCCACTTCATGTTGTCTTTCTTCACAGAGTTTGCGTTCTAGTAATGATTTATTACATTTGTACATTTATTATTATTGTGAGTCACTATTACTTATCAGCCATTGTACCATCCCCACTTTAGAAAAGGACATCGATACTCCAGAGAGATTGAGTAAATTCTAAAGGGTTACATATCCAGTAAGAACCAAAGCCTGTTTCATGCCAACGTGCTGATCTTTGTGATCTCCTCCTCTCTTCCTCCTTCTTTTGGTTCTTTGTTGGACCTCAGCTGATTTCTCACACCATTTTTGAGCAAGTTGGAGGCCTGTCCAGACACTGCCCTGGTAGAGAAGGCCAGTGCTTGGGAGGTAGGAGGAACTTCCCCGTGCACCCGGTCATCTTCCTCTTGTGAGGCTGTGGGCTCAGCAGATTCATTTTTGGAGGCTGAGTAATCCCCTCCCGGCTTCCACCCATGTTTGGCCCCATCAGGCAGGCAGCGCCGTGGCGGCCTGTCACCGGGCTGCATTTCTTTGCTGGCTCTGTGCTAACTACGTAGGTGACTGTGAAGAATTCACTTGCCCTCTCTGAGCCAAGGTACTTTTAGGCCTTTCCCTCAGCCCCCAGCCCTCGTACAGCCAGTTTGGACAAGCTAATTGCAGGGCACAGCAGGAATGCAGCCCTTGTCCTGACCTGTTGGTTTGTTGCTCAAAGACAGACCAGGCTGCAGGTGCTGGAGTGTGTGGGCTAGGCTGGTCCTTGGAAGAATTGCCTGAGCGGGCAAGGTTGCATATCGTGGCCTGGCCTCCTGTTCTCTGTCTCCTCCATCCATCTACTAGAGATTCCTTTCTTCCAAGCACTTGGTCCAACTCCCTCCAAAATAGCTTTCTGTCTTTGGCTTGTCATTCCCCGAGGGCCTCTGTATGTTGTGGAATGACTCTCTGTTGTTAGCCTTTCCCGTAGCAAAACCGCTAAGAGCATGGACCCTGGCATTAGACTTATGTAGATTCGAATCCCAGCTCCCCCACTTTTTAGCTCTTATCCAATCTTGTGCAAATTACTTGACTTCTGTTAGCCACAATTTCTTGTTCTGTTAAATGGAGATAGTACTAACTTCATAGGATTTTCAGCACAGTGCCTTAGAGCACAGGGGTGCATAATAATATAGCTAGCTGTTAATTCAATCAGCTTCTCTCAGCAGGATGAAAAGAAATCTGATTAAAGTAATTCACTGGAAGGTGTGAATGGCAGTAGGTTTAACCCTCCTAGAGAGAAACTTCTTTTTCCTGCAAATCCTTAAATCCTTGATTGGTGGCGGGATGGGAAAGATGACATAATGCCTTCCTTTCTCCCCACTCCCCCCCTCTTAGGAGCAGGTGGGAGAAGCTGGCAGACATGTGGGTAGGCCCGTCACAGTGCCCTTGTCTATTCTGCTGCCCTTTTGCATTCGCTAAATGCCAGAGGGAAGGGACAAGCAGTTTAGCACCCATTTTCCATCCCAGGATGGGTTTTGTTAATATTTTCTCTTTGTTGGTGGCCCATCATGTCTAATGGAATCACGGGCATGGGAAGCCCAGTGGGTTGTATCCTCTGCAGCTTCCTCCTTAGAGGCCCCTTTTGTTCTGGGAGGAAAGGGAGCTGGCCACACCTGCAAGGATGTGCACCCCTGAAGGAAGTCCTTCATATCCCCTCTATGCCCAGGTCAGACAAGGCACCATGCCCTACCAGCGGTTCCCCGAGCTGCCTGTGCATCAGACTCCTGTAGGGAGCGTTTACATTTTACAGTACACTCTGGGGTCCCATCTGGCTGAGGCCTGGGATGCAGTGCCAGTTCTCTGCCAATCCAGGCTGCCGTTTCTTCACCCAAACCCTTTGTGGGGCAGTCTGTCTCTTACTTAAGAACCGGCTCGAATATTACTCCCCTGGCTGAGTACTTTTCTCTTTCCTCTGGGCTTTCCTGCGTGGTGGTCTGACCTTTTCCACACTGGGCTAGAAGGTCATCGTGTGTCTGTCTCCTTCACTAGAATGGAGCTCCGTGGGGGAGGGAGCATGGCTTACCCACTTTCGTGTCCCTGAATCTAACACAGTGACTAACACATGGTAGGTACCAGGACAGGTTTATACAAGATGTAACGTGTGTTTTGAATCACTCGATTTCTTTTAACTTCTAGTGCACTGCTTATTATACGGTAGAATTCTTAGTAAAAACTCTTCAGATGAATGAGTAGGACACAGCTGAGAGGCCTGAGGTTGCTGAGGTGCCATTTCTCAGCCATGTGCCTTTCCATGCCAGCCCCTTTCCTCCCCTGCTGGCATTTCCCACGAGAAAGCCGTGGGGTCTGCCATATGCTTTGCATCTCTTGGCCCGGATCCTCCAGATTTGAAAACACCTGGCTTTTCAAGAACAGATTCACTATTTTCTTCCTACCTGGTGCCATCTTTTCTATCTGTTCATTGAGCTTTCATATTCAGCTTGAAGTGAGGGATGGGGGAATCCCAACAAACAAGAAGAGAATTAGAAAAACAAGTGACTTCGATCCGCTCCCTTCCCCCGTGACAGGTGTCTTAACAAATCACTGAGTTTTCTCCACCACCCCCTCCCCCGACACACACTGGATGGCTTTGCTGTCACCCTGGGGTCTGCATGGTCTGGTTGTGCGCGCGCGCGCGCGTGTGTGTGTGTGTGTGTGTGTGTGTGTGTGTAGGTGTGTTCTCTTTGTCCTTGTGCAGTTACTTTCATTTTGTAGGTACCCAGCTGATTGTGGCATGGAGTTAATGGATGTCCACAGATTACCCTTTAATGTAAACAGTTTATTTAAATTCCAAAGTAATTAAACATATTTTCTTTGTTTCTTTTTCTATTAAACAGAGACTCTTTATAACCTGGATTGCAGTAGTGGTTGTTTTAGGCAAAGCCAAGTCCATGGAAGTTCAATGTACAGGGAAGATATAGGAACTTTGGGAAACCCTTCAATGGAGTGTAGGGCGAGGGGTCTGGGAATGTTTTAAGCCTCGTGCAGGGGTGAATGGTAGGTACGGGCTGCAGTGGGGGTATTTGCAGGTATTGTTGGAAGCCCCTCAGCTACCATAATTGGCACACGTGCATGGTGGGCACACATGCATGGTGGGCACACATGCATGGTGGGCACATGCCTGAGTTGGCCGCCTGCACTTCCCTGGGCTTTACGCTCACCTCCTGGGAAAGTGTCAGTGGCTCCTAATTGCCTGTGGGAATCCAGAAGTTATTTGTTGGTGATGCTTAAAGAGTTTCCTGGTATATCTTCAACTTGCCAACTCCTAAATTTCTCCCTTGAAGCCTTCTATGGGGTTAGGGAGGGAAGTGCAGAGAGATTTCAGGGGAATTTGAAATATTCCCCATCAAGAAAAGGTAGGCAGAGAAAAACAAATACCGTGTGCTAACACATATGTATGGCATCTAAAAAAAAAAATGGTTCTGAAGAACCTAGGGGCAGGACAGGAATAAAGACGCAGATGTAGAGAATGGACTTGAGGACATGGGGAGGGGGAAGGGTAAGCTGGGACGAAGTGAGAGAGTGGCATGGACATATATACACTACCAAATGTAAAACAGGTAGCTAGTGGGAAGCAGCCACCTAGCACAGGGAGATCAGCTCCGTGCTTTGTGACCACCTAGACGGGTGGGATAGGGAGGGTGGGAGGGAGATGCAAGAGGGAGGGGATGTGGGGATATATGTATACGTATAGCTGAAACTAACTTTGTGATACAGCAGAAAGTAACACGACATTGTAAAGCAATTATACTCCAATAAAGATGTTAAAGAAAAAAAAAAAAGAAAGAAAAGGTAGGCAGCTGACTCCTGGTCCCTGAAAACTGGCACCTGACCCCCCTTCCAGCTCAGTCCTGGCCTGGCTGCCCCACTCTCTATCCTGCTCTCCCCTCCTCGGTTCTCCCACCCCCACTGAAACCCGTCCTCCTTTCTCAGGACTCTGCCCTGTGAAGTTGGCTGCACAGCCTCAGGTTTCACTAAGTGTCTAAAGAGGCACAGGTTGGAACCAGCACAAGGAATCTGGCCCCCATCGTGCTCTCCTTCTGCCTCGCTCTAACTCTCCTTTCCCCAGCAGGGGCCACCGCAGTGCCCACGCTCCTTCTCTCTGACTGGTGACCAGCAGCAGCGCCTCTTGGAACAAGGCAGTCCTGCCCCACTGCTCCCCATATGTTGCCAAGGTCTTTTCTTGCTTAGCCTGACTTCCTGGTCTTTTAAGGTCCAGTCTTCTTCCTCATGGCCCAGCCCCAGAGCACCTTGGGTGTGTGAGAAGTGTCTTAATGTGCCCAAGGAAAACGTACAGCTCCCAAGCGCCCTTCACACAAGTACATATAGTACAGTTACCACGGAATGATAATGCTACCTCAGTCTTGTTTCTGTTTCATTATTTGCTTTGTGATCTTTTGTGACTTTTCTGATTAGCAAAATATCATGTTTGTTTTGAAGCTTAGTGCTGCTAACTCCTAAACATGATTGCTTTCCAGGTCCCAAACCAGTTGTGTTCCTGCAGCATGGCTTGCTGGCAGATTCCAGTAACTGGGTCACAAACCTGCCCAACACCAGCCTGGGCTTCATTCTGGCAGACGCGGGTTTTGATGTGTGGATGGGGAACAGCAGGGGAAACACCTGGTCTCGGAAACACAAGACCCTCTCCATAGACCAAGATGAGTTCTGGGCCTTCAGGTATCTTTGAATTGATTATGACGGGGGGGTCTTTTTCCTTGGTACCCTCAACATAGACACTGGGGAGGCAAATAGACAGGAAACTCAAGATCATATGATGGGAAACTAATGGTTTATGAAAAGTTTTATGCCTTGTTAGGAATTTAATAAATAGCAGTAAGGCAAATTATAAATAAATGATTACATTTATGGGTTACATTCAATAAGGGATTTTTAGTTATTTTGACATTCCTGGTGGTGCGGGTGTCGCTGTGTAAATTGTGTACCATACCCTTCTCCCTTCCTCCATAAACACGTCCTGCAAGTATCCACTCCTCTTATTTCTAGAAGTTCTCTTCTCTCTCTTACTTCTACCTCTACCACTGCATGATATTAGGCATGTGACATAAGCCCTGTGTCTGTTGCCTTTTTGTAAAGTGGGGATAATAAATACCTTTCTCATAAGGTCACTGGGGGCTTAAGGGAGAGGACACAAGGAAAGAGGCTGGCACAGAGCCTGGCACAGCGCAAGTGGTGGTTACAGTCAGTACACATGCGTACAGGTTCAGGGCTGTGTCTCTGTACCAGGCATTAGAGAAAGTCAGCACCATGACTCCTTCGGGCTTGCTTCCCCATTTGTAAAACCAGAACCTACCTGAGGCCGTGAAACACAGGAATGAGAGCTCTTACCAAAGGCATCTCCAAGAATATACTCGTTGTTACACTATTTGTAATAGTGAGAAATTGGAAACTACCAAATGCCCATCAGCAGTGAGTGAACAAATAAAGTGTCATGTATTTACACAATGACCAGCCGACAGCTGTATGTGACGGCAAAGATGAAGTCGGATGCAGAATGATACACGCTGTTTGATCCCATTCATAGAAAAGTTCCCAAATGGATCAAACTAATTTATGGTTTAAGAAAGGAGGATAGTGGTTATTTTGGGGAGGCATGGTTAGCAAGGAGCCCAGGGAGGCTTCTGCAGCGCTGGTAATGTTCGGTTCCCTGTGCTCAGGGCTGGTTTACCCAGCTGTGTTCAGTTTGTGATAACTCATCAAGCAGCACACTTGTATGCTGTTGTATTTGCATGCAATGTCTCAATGAAAAATTTCCTTTTTTGGATTACAGCTACGATGAGATGGCAAATTATGACCTACCAGCTTCAATTAACTTCATTCTGAATAAAACTGGCCAAGAACAAGTGTATTATGTGGGTCATTCTCAAGGCACCACGATAGGTATGTATAAAATAAAGATGGGAGGTTGATATAATGTTTTATTACTGTTTGTTCCTTCTTAAAAGTGAAATATAAAAGAAATAATGTTCAGATAGAGTTTTGTGTTTGTTTTTTAATGCCAGGCAGAAATAATGAATAGGGCAAAGAATTTTGGTAATATTGAGTCTTCTCTGGAAATTCAGACAAACATAAATAGATGAACATGGTGTATGGTTCCCTTGATTGAAGGAATCAATGTAAACCACAGCCTATTACATATTTTCCTAGTTAAGTGATATGGGGATGTGAGAGAGTAGAAAACAGGAAGTTGTATAAGTGCAGAGACTTTTATAAAGAAAACAAGGAAATACACTGATTTTTTAAAGTGAAGTAGAATAAAGCTAGCTCCAAGGATGCCATAGTACACTTTATTTACAAATAATTTTGTAAAGTCATATATATTTTTAATTTATGCTGATGATAAAAGTATTATGTGTTCATTGTAAACAGAAACAGAAAATTTAGCAAAGTTTTAAAAAAATAAAAATTGCCAGGAGTTCTCTGGTGGCCTAGTGGTTAGGACTTTGAGCTTTCACTGTCTCGTCCTGGGTTCAATCCCTGGTCGGGCAATGAGATCCTTCAAGCCACGCGTCGTGGCCTACCCCCCCTCCCCCCCAAAAAATGCTCGTAATTCGAGCAAACAAGAGTTCCTCTGATTAGGGACTAGAGACCTGTCCCATAATTTATTTAATTCCCCTGTTGGCGTTTCCTATGACTCATATCTTTGTGTTCCTATCACACAATCTTCTTAGAATACATTCCTAGAAGACAACTATGATGTGAAAGGTATGAATGCTTTGAAGTGTCTCCCTATACGTAGTTAAGCTGCCTTGCCCTCACTACCACTCCTCTTTGTCACCTCGAGAGGCTTCAAGCAACAAGTAACATGGACGTAATTGCCCTCCTTATTAATGGACTTAAGTATTTTCTGCATCTATATTCGTTCTTCCATGACCTGTCCATTGGTGTCCTTTGCCCCACTGCTTTCAAAATTGACATTCTGGGGCCAAGTTTAAGGCAAGAAGTGACCTGAGAGGAAGCTAAAAGATATTTTGAAGCTAGAGGATTCTAAATATGTAAGTTCCTTTCGAGTCCTTGGCGACTGCGTTGAGCACCTTCGTACATCATTCTTGGTGATGGAGGGGGAGCAGTAGGGGATGGACACAGTGGGGTGGAGCTGTTAGGAATAGTCTTCGATTCCCTGGCTTACATCATTAAAGGAACGGGAAACATCTTCTGGTTCTAGAAACCCGGATTTCTTCCAGTGCATATGTAGGCTGAAAATCAAAACAAGCACTTAGCAAAACTTGATTTACTGCTTTAATCAAATTCAGTGTTTGTGCACATAGGAGTTCAGAGACCCTCGTTTCAGGAGTTTTGCCTCCTGGCATTGCTTGCACAGGTCTCAGATTGCCACTAGAAGGCGACACGCATGCCTGCCCTTGCCTTTTCAGAGAAAAGTCCCAGAAGATGGAATTCTCTTATTTTCCTTTTGTTCCCACAGGTTTCATAGCATTTTCACGGATCCCGGAGCTGGCCAAAAAGATTAAAATGTTTTTTGCCCTGGCTCCCGTGGCCTCAGCCCAGTTCGCTACTAGCCCTCTAGTTAAATTAGGACGATTTTCAGATCTTCTCATTAAGGTACTTGGATTCCCCCCACCTCCACTCCCTTCCCTCACAGATTTCCTTTTTGGTTCTGAAGAATTGGCCTATAGAGGAAGAAGGTGTGTCTTCCTCCCCTGTGTTTTGCTATCAATGGAACAGTGGGTTTTCCTCTCTCCGTGGTTTTTCTTTCCCCTTTCACCCCTACTTCCAGATCCGGGGGAACCAGGGAAGGTGTCCTTAACTCCACACTGGAACTCCCTGTTCTCATGGCTAACACGTCAGTGCAAATCCCCATCCACCTTACAAGGAGAGCATAGCTTAAACCTTAAACCTCCCTGAAGTTGCCCTTTATTCCATAGGGTGGGTCTGTGCCTAGGAGTAGGCAGCAGATGGGAGACAGGCGATGTGCTATTCCACATGCCCGACCCTGACCACGCTGAGGGTGATCTATTATATTTTATTATATGGCCCCTAAGCAGAGGCCAGTAACTTCATCGGAGCTCAATGTGTGAACTCTCCAGGATTTGCTCAAGGAGGAAGCAGGTTTTTTTGTTTTTTTTGCGGTACGCGGGCCTCTCACTGTTGTGGCCTGTCCCATTGTGGAGCACAGGCTCCGGACGCGCAGGCTCAGCGGCCATGGCTCACGGGCCCAGCTGCTCCGCGGCATGTGGGATCTTCCCGGACCGGGGCACGAACCCGTGTCCCCTGCATCAGCAGGCAGACTCTCAACCACTGCGCCACCAGGGAAGCCCAGGAAGCAGTTTTTATGAGGAGTTGAGAGCCGGCTGAGGCCAGATGGTCTGTTACGCACGCACTGTCTATGTTTTATGTATGATAGGTGTGTACACACACATATGAAATCCTATACAGAAATATATACTTATACATATCTCTTGGCCATTTAAGAAGCATGTTCACAGGACATATAGACTATACTCTGACCTCAGAATCTGACTCTCACCTAAGATGGGATTCTCTGTACCAGTGATCAGACAGGCAGGTAAGATGTGGGCCCCTCTAACCACATTTATTTTAAATACCTTGGATAACAGAACCTTCGATTTTCATTATAAACAATTCAGAGATTACGAATAAAGTACCCTTCAACTACCAAGGCTTCTCCTAGCACCTACCTCAGAATTAAGCACCGTGCTCAGCCTGGGGTCTTTTCCTATAGACCTTGTGTGTGAATTTGTATACCTATATAGGTCCAGAGAGAAATGTATTGTTTTGTTTCAGTGTAGACAGTATCCAACTATGTAACTTGAGTACCTTGATAAAGACCCTATTTCCAAATAATATCACATGCTGAGATACAGGGAATTAGGACTTCAACATATCTTTTTCGGGAGGGACACAATTCAACCCATAAAACTGCCTTTGTAGGCATTTGAATTTTTCACTCTGCTTGTCCCTCCAGAGGGTGGGCATCAACGAAAGGGTAAATTATAAGGAGACAAATTTGGGTTCACTATAAAGAACATCTTTTTCCTATTTCCTATTACACATGTACACGACGATCTGCCTTGAGGGCATAATGATTGCCCCAGAAATACTTGAGCACAGGTCCAGGGGCCATTGGTCAGGTCTGATGTACACCAGGAGTCAGCAGATGTTTTCTGTTAAAGGTCCAGATAATAAATATTTTTGGCTTTGTGGGTCATATGGTTTCTCTTTCAACTACTGAACTCTGCCTTTGTCTTTTTTTTTTTTTGGCTGCGATGGGTCTCCGTTGCTGTGCGTGGGCTTTCTCTAGTTGCGGTGAGCGGGGACTATTTTTCGTTGTGGTGCCCGGGCTTTTCATCACGGTGGCTTCTCTTGTTGCGGAGCACGGGCTGTAGGCGCGTGGCTTCAGTAGTTGTGGCACATGTGCTCAGTAGTTGTGGCTCGCGGGCCCTAGAGCACGTGGGCTTCAGTAGTTGTGGCACACAGGCTTAGTTGCTCCGTGGCATGTGGGATCTTCCCGGACCAGGGCTTGAACCCATGTCCCCTGCATTGGCAGGTGGATGCTTAACAACTGTGCCACCAGGGAAGTCCTCTGCCTTTGTCTTGTGAAAACAGCCAGAGACAATGTGTATAGAGAAAAGCATGGCCGTGTTCCAGTAAACTTTATAAAAACAGGCAGTGCTGGCAGAGGAGATATGGGGAGTTATTGTTTAAATGGGTACAGAGTTTCAGTCTGAGATGTTGAAAGAGTTCTGGAGATGGGTGGATAGTAGTGATGGTTGCAGAACAATGTGAATGTACTAATGCTGCTGATCTGAACACTTAAAAATGGTTAAAATGGTAAATTTTGTATTAAGTATTAAAAAACCCCAAAAGGCAGTGGGCAGGATTTGGCCCACTGGCCAGTAGCATCGGATCAGATGTATGTGTCCTAAGCAGACACATTGCTGACCGACCACAGTTTCAACTCTTTCTCAGAAGTCACTAGCAATCCATCAAAGTCAGATGAAACTTTGGGGATGGCCCTGGGATCAGGGATCATTCAGGCCCCCTCCCACTGTAGAAGTCTTCTGTGGACCTATGTGATTTTTTGCCTTCTTTTTTTCGTTTGAGACTTTAAATACACATCTGTAATATCTGCTATTGCCTTAGTAAACGTATCACACAGGTGTCCTAGTTTGAATGCCCACTGGTGGCCATTTCTCTTCTGAGGCCATCCGTGGACACGATTGGCATGTGTCTGCTTGTGAGGTGGGACGTGGAGGCCATACACCAGAAGGAAATGCTGAGATATTCTTTTTATTTTGCAGGACTTATTTGGGGTTAAAGAATTTCTTCCCCAGAGTACGTTTGTGAAGTGGCTGAGTATACATGTTTGTACTCATGTCATTCTGAAGGAGCTTTGCGGAAATGTCTTTTTTGTTATGTGTGGATTTAATGAGAGAAATTTAAATATGGTATGTATGTTTACAATAACACTTGCTTTAAACTGTCAGTGATTTTATTTTATCTGTGAATGTGCTTCTTTGTGTTGGAGGGTGTGGGAGAGGCAGGAATGACCTCATTAGAGCTCTAAAGGCTCTTTCATTTAACGGGTATAAGAATCAACCTTGGCAGGTACCTGGAACACCATTTACGGCTAACCTCAGGCCAGCCATTGTCAGCTTCCTACATTGTACCTATGTGGAAACTATGGAATGAGGGAGATCGGTCATCATTTAAATTGCAATATTTATATTTATTATAGTGATCTTTTTCTTCAAAATAATTACTATAAATGTGTTTAAATTTGGAATGGCCATTTGCACACACACACAGGCACATACCCACCCATGTATATATACATTTATTTATTTATTTTATAAAATGTAAACCCTTGGCCAGCAGTGTGCTGGTGTTTCTAAATACATTCGTAGTTTGTCATGTTGTATTTTGAAAACAGGTCTTAAAATTCTGGAATGAAGGCTCTAGGGAATTTTTAAGGGATGTTAATTTTTCTTGTTTCTGATGAATAAAAGCAAGGTATGATTGTTATATAAAATTTTGGAAATTCAGAAAAATATGAAGAAGAAAATAAAAATGAGCAGTAATCTCAACCAGTACAGCCCCACAGTTACCATGTTGCTGTATATCCTTCATGTGTATTCTGTGTGTGTATGTGTGGTTATTCATATTTTTACAGGACGTATTTGTAGTCAAAGAATTTTTTTTCCTGCTCTTAATCTCACGTATTTGAGATTGTGGCTCTGTAGTTCTTAATGCTTCAAGGTGCAAACTGTGTTTATTATCAATGCCTCCTTCAGGCTGTTTTCATTCTTTATTTCCACATGTTTATTTTACAGTCTAGAGTGGCTGTGTATGCCACACACTCTCCTGCCGGAACTTCTGTGCAAAATATGTTACACTGGAGCCAGGTACGCATTCCAGGAGTACAGTGGGGGGTTTGTGGAACATCGGCCTTAGAAAGTTCTGTGCATTCCATGAAGCAAATAGAAAGGTAGTCTGCTTACACATCTGAGCTGCTTTCCTTCCTGAGTCCTGGGCTCCCGTCACTATCTCTATGTCGCTTGTGTTATCCTCCCTGGGGCAGACTGTACTACGGTGTGAGTTCACCAAACAGCTATTGGGGTTGACTTGTTTGTTCTTTTCTTCCCCCTCCCCTCTGTCAGTTTTTCATTGAGTCCCAGATTTATTTTATTTCTGTGTTGCTCCAGAAAGCAAGATTTTAGAGCAGCTTTGGAGATAGAAGCTGCTATTTCAGCATTAACCTATGAACATTGTATGCCTGAAACATCAGTGGAGAAACAGAGCTAAATCAGTCAAGGATATAAGTAAGAGACACTAAATTTTAAAATAGAGTTTTGAGTGTATGATCACACATCACGAAAGTATGCATGTTCATTCTAGAAAATTTATAAATTACATACGAGTATAATAATAAAAATTCTCATAAGGTGAAAAATAAAATTGTTCTGTAATCCCACACAGAGATAGAGAATGTGTACCAGGGATATAAAATGTCTCTGCATTCTACTCCGTATCTCTTGCTGCGTATCATTTCAGAAAGAAGTGGTTAAGGATATAGATAGAAATCATAATTGCAGAAATAGATTGTTTACTTTTCTTCTTACTCTTTTATAGCTGTTTTTTTTCACCTGACAATATGTCAGGGACTTTTTCTACCTCAGGACATGTTTTTGTATAATTTTTCCCCCAAAATTCTTTTTAAATATGAAATAACTTACCATTTAAGCGTCAAACCAAGATGCAGTGAGTGCCTTGGGCAGCAATCTTCAAACGACTGGCAGTCACTGCCTGTATCAGAATCATGTGAGTTGCCTTTAAAAGTACACTTTTTAATATAATATTATTTTTAAAAAGTAAGGGATATTGGGTTTGTGGTAGAGCTGTTGGATTAGCTACAATCCAGGCTTTTAAACACAAAGCCTCCTGTGTCCCATCCCTAGAGATTCTAATTCATTCGGACTGCAGTGTGTATACCTTTATTTTTTTTAAACATCTTTGTCGAGGTATAAGTGACCTACAATATTTGAAGTGTACAAGGTAGTATGTTTTGCCATAGATATACACCTGCAAAGCCATCACCACAATCAAACCAGTGAACGTATCTGTCACCCCCAGAAGCCCCCTTGAGTACCCCCTCCACCCTCTCCCATCTGCAGCGACCCATCTGCTTTCTGTCACTATAGGTTACTTTGAATTTTCCAGAGTTTTGTCTAAATATAATCATACTGTATATATTTGTTTTTGTCTGGCTTCTCTCAGCATCATTATTTTGAGATTCACCCAAGTTGTCATGTGCATCAGTACTTCATTTCTTTCTGGTGCTGAGTCGTGAGAATTTATATTTTTAAAAAATTCTGCCCATTAGATTCTTCTGCCCAACTGGATTTGGGAACCTCTGACCCGGGACATCACTGGTATCCTTCCTCAGTTGTCCCAGGAACGTTGTCAGTTGCGAGTGCTATCAGTTATCTCTCCTTGGGCTTATCCCTGTGGAACCAGGCAGGACCCGGCCTGAGGCTTTTAGCCCGGTAGTGACTGTAAGGCCTAGTGTTAAGCGTCAGGGACTCAGTACCAGAGTTTGGCCTAGAAGAGGGGCATCTGGAAGGCAGGTAGCTCATGACATGCTGAGGATCACACCTTTACCTCTGAAGGGATGTCCCGAAACCTTCAGGAGCCCTCAGATGTTCACCCCCAAGCGTCCACTCAGTCCCCTACTTTTCTCCCCAGGCACTTCTCCATCTAGAGCCGCTTGTTTTCTCTGTATGCCCTGCCATCAGAAGAGCCTTATCTTTCTGAGCATTTTTACCCTCTTACCTAATGGACATTTTTCAGTAAGGTCCAGTTTCTGTCACCTCAAGAGTCAGTGCTCCCCTGTGTGGAGGACGACTGAGCTGAGCTGGAGGCTGATGCTGAGCGGCCCACGCTGGCACCCCCATGCCTCAGCAGAGCACAGGTGACCGCCATCCCTAGCCTTTCAGGTACCCTTGGGAATGTGGTGGCCAAAGCTGTCAGACTACCCTGTTGCATGTCACAGCACGGTAGTCCTCCAGCCTTTTGTGCTGCAGGCCCGCACTGGCGTTGGGTTTGCCTAGAGCTCTTGGATTGGCTGTAATCCAGGCTCCTGCTCTTGTTCCAGCCCTTTTTTGTGTGTGGTACGCAGGCCTCTCACTGTTGTGGCCTCTCCCGTTGCGGAGCACAGGCTCCGGGCGTGCAGGCTCAGCGGCCACGGCTCACGGGCCCAGCTGCTCCGTGGCATGTAGGATCTTCCCGGACCAGGGCACGAACTCGCGTCCCCTGCATCGGCAGACGGACTCTCAACCACTGTGCCACCAGGGAAGCCCATTCCAGCCCTTTTGTCAAGCAGCTGACTGGGGTCAGGGGCTGCTGGCTGTGGATCAGAGCACCGCTCTCAGGCCCAGTGGTGACCACGTGGTTTTAGGTCCTCACTGCATTGCAGTGTGCACCACGAACGTTTCTGAAGGCCAGAGTCCCTGCAAAAGTCAGCCCTGCCCTTTGTTCTTGTGCTCCCTGTGTCATCCCTTTGTTAAGAAAATGGTTGCTTTGTGCAGCTGTTTCATAGGATCTTCTTGACTCTCCCTCCTCTGGGCTGTTGGCCAAGGGCTGCCAGCCAGGGACTGCCACTCTCTGCCTACGCAGGACGTGCTGGGGCAGCAGCCCTGGTCCCTGCTGGGAGAGGCTTCCACTGAGGGTGTGCGGGGCCTGAATCCTGGCAGGCTTGAGGGCTACAATTCAGATGTGAAGTTGGGAGGTTTCCGTGGCAGGAGTTTGGGGGTGCCCTTAAAGGCCATTCTATTCATAGTAAATTTTGAAATGGATCTTTTGTGTAAGTAATTAGCATTCAGTTCTCGAAGTTCTAAAACCTAGTTCTTCACTGTTTTTTTTTAATTTAGCTTACAAATCATCTTCTTCTCTTTATAAGCCTCACACGTTTCAGAGACCCTCCGGAATCTCTAGCCCCCTTGCCAGCTATGCCCAGAGCCCAGCTACTTGCTCCTGTTTGAAGAAGGCCGGTCCTAACATATCTTTACAGTGCTGTTCAGAATTACTTAGGGTGCTATAAAAAAATACAGTTTCTTGGGTCTACCCAGGACTTGTTGAGAATCAGAATTCCTGAGGGTATGGCTCTGGGATCTGCATTTTAATAAGCACCTTGTAAGATCTGATGTTCTCTATTGTTTGAAACCTGCTGCTTAAAAAAAAAAAATGCAAAATATGCATTAGCTAGGCTCTTCAAAACACTGTAAGAGACATTTAGTAAAATTTTTGTTATACGTATATGTTCATTATGAAATTTTAAAAATATGTGAGTACAAGAAGAAAATACATTACCTGTATGTCTACCACCAGGGATAACTACGATTAGTATTTGCGTATTATAGGGGAGGTAAAATTTTTCCTTTACTCTCTTCGGGTTTCTGACTGGGACTGACATAGGACAAATTAACTGGAGAAAAGCATATGGATTTCATTTACGTGTACATGGGAGCCCTCACAAAAATGAAGACCCAAAGAAGTAACTAGGCCTAAGTGCTTATATACTAGGTTGAACAAAGGGTAGCAGTTTTAGAAAAGTAACTAAAATATATGGGGAGACTTACAAGACATGAGAGTTATTTTCACAAGGTCTTTTTGTATAATTTCTGTCAGCCTCCTCTTTTAGACTCTGGTGATGAGCACGCTTCTTCCTCCTGGTATAGGGAGGGCTTCTTTCACATGGGAGTTTTGTGTTCTCCTTTTAGAAAGAAAAAGGAAGGTCAGCGTCCTCTTCACATCTTCTGTTTTTCAAGTGCCTTTAACTCAAAATAATCATTATGCCAAAGCGGCATATTTTGGGGTGGCATGTCCTGAACGCTTACACTGTAATCTTATAATTTTTTTGGTATAATTGTTTCCATTACAGAAGGAGGATTATGCTACATGCACTTTTTAATAATTTTATTTTTTATTTGATTAAACAGCATTGTATTTCTGAGATGCAGGCTAAGTTGCTGTATCAAAGACCCTAAAATACAGCATCTAAATAAATAGTTTCCTTCCTCAGAATCCAGTCCAGACATCAGTGGCACACAGTTGTGGAGGAGTTGTGACTGCTGTGGGAAGTCATGCAGTGACCCCGTCCCCTCTGCACTATAGCTTGGCCATCTCTGGGGCGCTGGCCTCTTCTGCCTGGTTGAAACTGGGTCACGTTCATGGCAGTTCCAGCCCCCAGGAAGAAGGCACATGAGGGATATGGCTCCTACCCTGGCAGCCATGTGCTTAGCAAAAACTTTAGAAATTTTATTACTGAAAGGAAGAAGGCAGGAATGGGTACTGGGGGGCAAATAGCAGCCTCTGCCTTAATCAGAAATGCTTTTCCAGGTCAATAACTACACTTAAAAATATTTGTAACTGAGGACAACTTTTTACTGTTCGAATTTATTATTATTATTATTATTACTATGATAGGTTTTTTGGCAATAAAACATTCTGGGATAAATATTCTTGAATTAGAGATCTGTCCTTATACATTAGGCAGATGACTTCCTTAGGATACAGTCTTAGTAGACTGTAAGGGTAAGCATCTCTTTAAGACTTCCAGATATGTATGGTACTTTAGAAAGGTTGAACCTATTTACATTTTCATTACCAACAAGATGTTAAAATAATTTTTTAAATAGTTTAAAATTAACTTAAACTTAAAATATTCATATTGGATAAAGGTCAGGTGAAAATGCTTATAATACTAGGAGAGACAGTTTTCAAAGTCTCTCCTAATATTATAAGCATTTCCACCTGACCTTTATCCACATAAGGTTACCACTTAAGTATAGCCATAGTGCATGTTCAATTTTACCTTCTGACTTTTCTCCACTTAGTATTATTTATAAACAGTTTTTCTTTCTATTGTATTATATTTGTATTTACGACAGTGGCATACCATGTGTATATTGATATAATGTATTTAACCAAGTATCTGTCATTGGATGTTAGCTTATTCTCAGGTTTTTGTTGCTATGAATAGTCTTCTTCACATTTCCCTCCTTCTGAGATGCCCTTTCAAAGGCGTAGTTTGAAGTCCTATGACGCTGAGCACCAAAGTCAAAGCTGAAGTTTAGCCTGAACTCTCGGCACGTCTTTCCTTTGTTTCTACACTCACTCTGGGTGCTTTATATAAAAGCCAAAGACATATGTGAGAAAGTGACAAGCTGGTGTCTGTCTGTGGGGGCAGAACAACTTGCACTGATATATTTTCACTGGCACTTAGAGCTAGGGAAGAGATGCACTAACAGGTGCTGTAAATTCATACCTTATTCTGCTTGTGAAATGTGCTGCAGGTATTAATATCTGTCACTTGCAATGGCAAATGCAAATGCTAAACATTCCCCCTGTAGTACCTCATCTCACACTGTTGTTTATTGTATAAACCAGTAGAATCTTATGCAATTGATAAGAACTGAAGCCAAAGGCAGTTCTGACAAAGAATGCCTAGGCTTTTCCTGTTTACCAGACGCCACCCTCTGGCCAAAGCTTATTAAACAGTTTCCAATTCATTTGGTTCGCCAATTTTGGATTTAATTCTTGACATATTTTTAATTGGGGAATATAGAGGAGGTATGGATTTGCATTATTTAAAAATTTATGAATAAGTGACTTTTTGTTCATATTTTTCTATCATGCTGTCCTAAATAAGCATACATTTAAATTTCATATACAATATCATTTCATGGCTCTAGTATCCTCAACTGATTGGAATTGTTCAGTGTACAGTACAATTTGGTGATTTTACTGGTACTGGTACTCAAGAAAAAGTGTTAAATGAATTAAATTCGTAAAATATTAAATAATATAACTAGTCAAATCGGATAGATATATAAGAAATATGATGGAGATTATATGTAATATAATTATATATACAATTAATGTACTTACATACTAATATAAATATATCCATATAAATACACATTAATATATTAATCAATTGTTATATGTAATATGTATTTCTTTCCCAAGTGAGATAGTGAACTCTTTGGAAAAGTTTAAGATTCAAATTCCAATAAAAAAACATCAGCGTAAAGTTTATCCAACGGGTGCAATGCTGATCCAGGATCATTTACAGCACATATGTGTAGCTGCTTTATTGTGTCATGTAATAGCTACTTTCCAATCACACAGTGAGAAATTGAGTCATTTAGGAAAGGAGAGCAAAATTATGCCGTTTTATTTTAAATTGCAGTTTGGAAATTAAGAGTGAATCTGGGTATCGGTGTAAACTTGGTATCTGAGGGGGTGGCTAACTCTTGCAACCTGTGATGCTATATCAGATTTCTGTGTTAGATAACTTTATTTCTCCCCCAATTATCTTCTGTCTAGCTTATTAAATTGCAGAAGTTTCAAGCCTTCGACTGGGGAAGTAGTGCCAAGAATTATTTTCATTACAACCAGGTAAAGTCTTCAGAGTCTTTAGAATTAAAATGGGCCCTGAAAACTCATCAAGGAAGCCAGCCTGAGTTATGAGGATTCTGGCTGGGTTCAGGTGCCAGGGGAAATGGTCGGGAGGGTTGACTAGGTAGCCTTTGTTTTCCCCCAGTCAATTCTAGAACAACCTGGTTCATGCTTTGGACCCTGTCCTTTCCCTGGCTCTGTATAAATAGTCATCTCTGTCATCGGTCATGGATAGTGATCAGGCACACAGACCTTAAGAGTCAGACAAGCCTATAGGGCTGTTACCTGGTGGTTGGGGGGCCTTGGCCAAATTACGTTGCCTAAACCTTTTCTTCCATATACACATGAATTGACCACTTTTTGGGTGCTAAGGGCTCTGAAATGGGAGGCACGCTGCTCATGTTTTTCTTATTTAATTCTCAGAATATCCCTGTGACATAGATGTGATGATGATTAAAGAGGAAGAAACAGAGGCTTAGGGAATTTCTATGACTTGGGTCACACCCCAGAGGGAAGGGAGGTGTGGATATGACTCCAAAGCCCCTTCCCAACCACTTGGTTTGGTTCTACAGCTTGGCATCAACTACCTGGGAGAATGACGCCTTCCTCCCAGGGGATGAAACTCGTTCCCTTGCCCAACACAGGGTAACAACTCAATAGCTAGCAGTTGTAACGGCTAGCATTCTTTTCTTGTGGGTTAGGCTTCTTTTTGTTCTGGTAATAGCAACTTGAAAAGTAAATAGAGTGATTTTCAAACTTTAGTCTTTGATTCTCAGATCAGATTTACTAATCAGTGTTTACTGGGGATTGTATTTTTGTCAATTAAAACAACAAAGACAAAGCTTTCTATGGGTTTTCATTACAGAGTTACCCTCCCTCTTACAATGTGAGAGACATGCTGGTGCGGACCGCTGTCTGGAGTGGGGGGCAGGACTGGCTCGCGGACGTCAGCGACGTCAGTGTCTTACTGACCCAGATCTCCAACTTGGTGTACCACAAGCACATTCCTGAGTGGGAGCATCTTGACTTCATCTGGGGCTTGGATGCCTCGTGGCGGCTCTATAATGAAATGATAAATCTAATGAGGAAGTATCAGTGAACGCCAGACTGGAGACATTTACTGTCAAGTCATGTTAAATCTGTTTGCTTAATTTCTCTAAATATACGTGTTTTCCTTTCCCAGGCGTTTTGTATTTTTATATTCAAGAAAATTATGCCGTTGAAGATGCCCAGTTCTCTCCAGTTAGGATAAGAAACGCTTTTGCTTTTTTTGTTTAATCAAACAAACTGCCCGCCAACCTTTGATCCTCTCCCATGGGGAGGAGAGTGGTCTTAAACCTGAGGAGGGGTGGGTGATGGTTTGGAAATCCGCAGTTTCCACTGAGCGAGGCTGTGAGTGGAGACTGAGCCCTGATTAACCCCATTTGCAGGTAGTGGCTGCAGCTGCGACCCTGGATTCAAGGACTGTCCATCAAATGCTCTCCTTGGACAAATGAAGCAACCAAAGCTGGCGGAGACAATGCCATAGGGCCCCCAAAACATAGATTTAGGAGTCCAATGTGATCTCTCCCACTACTCTGTAAGCTTGAAGATATATCTTACTTACCGCTGTATGCCCAGAATCTAACACAATACCTGGAATATTAGTGAGTTAATAAATATATGCGGACTGACAGAATGTGTGACAAGTGATAGACTTTGTCATTTAGCTATATGAAATTAGATGCACAAGTAACATCTGGGAGGGTCTGAAGTGGATTCTGATTTTTCATGGCAACTAAAGTGAAATTGTAAAGAAAAGAGTAAAATTGTACTAGATGGGAAGGATATACGTCCCCAGGAGGATGCCACTCTCCCCACTGGCCTTATGTCCCCCTCAAGAAAGAACAATGCTTTCTCCTTTGACCAAGGCAAACTGGTTTGGCCAACCAGGTACAAGATTCTTGGGTCAGGGCCAGAAAGAACAGGACAGTGAGTGGCTGTTTTTGTTTGTTGTTTTCCAGCAGTAGTGGGAGAGAGCTCATCAGAGAATGGCTTCTGTGTCCTAGGTGACTTGGTTTCCCTTCTTTGGTTGCTGCCATGGAGTCTCCTTCAGATGCCCTTGAGAACTTGTGGTCAGTAAATCTGCCACTCAGACCATGGGAATGAATGAGCAGCGGCTACATTCTATAGAGTCCACCTGTTGTTGGAGTGTTTTTCTCTTCACCTCCTTCCCAAACTCTTCCTTGGGGATTTTTCTTCAGTGTGTGGGCCAGTCCAGAGGCGATGTTGCATGGTGGTTTTTGCTACAGTTGGGCTACACGGTGCATTTGCCTTTGTTGCTGGCCTCTTGCTCCTGATGCAGCTGTGTAGGCTCTTATATCCTTACAACCCTAGCTGCATTCATGTAGCTTTGTTTCACCGTTGGCTGACAGTGCAGAAGAAGATTGGACCTTGTACCTTGAGAAGTCCTGTAACAGGTTGGGAGGACTTCTGACTCTCTTCTTTTCCACTGGGTTTGCTATATATTCTTTTGAGCAGAGCACAGAGATCTCCACAGACCTCTAGGGCAAGGAGAATACTAGTTAATATTCCATCAACTTGGAACTCCAAGATCTTGTGTTTACTTGCGTAAAGCCACTACATGAAGTCACAATTGAGAATGAAGTCATTTTTTTCATTCGCCATAAGGGGGCGCTCTTGGCTCTGCTTCTTAACCTTTTCTGGGCTAGGCAGAGAACTTTGCTGATTTAGGAGGCAACTGGTAATTTGAGGACTGATAAGACCAACCATGTCTGTGGTCATTTCTGTCCAGGATTATAACTAATTCTTGCCTAATTCGTAATATCTGAAAAATGTTCTCAAAGAATAACTGTGCCCCAAATGGGACATGAAAATAAAAACTTGCCTAATAGCTAAGAGTGGTCAGAAACCTCAGACATGAGGAGGAAGTGGGGAATGCTTTAACCAAGGCTTCACACTTATTAAGACTGTTGATATTATCTCCAAACAATGATTATTTTGTGTTTGTGGGTATGAAACGTGTTAATTTGTTAAATGTATGCCTTTAAAGTATCCTGTAATTTTAACTCGTCTTTTTTTTTTTTTTGATATATGGAGAGATTTTCAAAATGTGACCCCTGAAAGGCAACATCAGGTTATCATAATTCTGATTTTAAAAAATTTGTCAGTGATTCATTCAAGAGTATTTATTGAGTATTTATTGTACTGTGCAAGGTACAGATTTCAAGATCAATTCCAAACTAAACAAGTAAAACCTTCTCTACCAACTTGGTTTAGTAGTACTAAAACAAATACTTTGCATTTTTACACTGTGCCTTCTGGGGTTTTGAAGCCTTCTCATAAGGCTTTGATCTTTACAGCACCCCTTTGACGGGTAAGGTGAGTATTTTCTCTGCTTTACAGGCAACAGTATGCCTTTTAATGGGGATGATTTTATATGCTTTAAATATTTTAAGCAGGTTGTTGAGAGTTCCAACAATGTCAGTAGAAGCACCCACTTACATGTGACACAGATGGATCAAAATATAAAGAGAACACTTTTAAAACCAAGTATGTATCAGCACCTGTGTCAAATAAGGCCATCAAGGACTCTCTTGGGGGAGCTTATACCCTCCCCCCCCCAAGTTCTTCATCAGCATCCCCTACTGTTTTGGTGTTGATAATTATTGTTTTCTGAGTCTTTTGTAAACTGCCCTATAAATGGAGCTTCGATGCCGCACTCCAACACCAAACTCCCCCTGTAGAGGTACCTACCTTGAAATTGACACTGACCAAGTTCTGCTCTCAGTTTGGCTCTTACTTCCTATTGAACCCTAGCTAGTCTTGACTTTTCTGAGACTGAGTCTTCATGTTTACAAGGAGGGATTAGATTTTGATCTTTGAGTTTGCTCCACCCTCTATGAGTTTTACGTGTTACAGCTGTAAAACGTTAAAACACTTCTCATCTCTGATACCCAGGAATAATCGTTTCGGTTAGATAGATGCCAACACAGTCTCACCTAATTATGGAAAGAAAAAATAATCGTAAAGGCCATGCAAAAAAAGAAATTGTGTCATTGGTAAAGGGTTTTTCCAACTACATCTTCTATTTTTTTCTTGTGGGGAGGTGGGGGCATTACACGTTGTCTTTTGGTGAGTTGGTACCAAATAGCTTTGAGATTGTGTTAAATATGCACAGACCCGATTGGTGTACTCTCAGAAAAGTGATTGGATCTCTGTCCGAAAGACCACGCCAAGATAAAAATACACAGAAGTTGAAACCAACTGGAGAAGCACAAGAAATAGTGTGGCCAAAATCCTAATACCATCACAAGTCAGTAAACACCCCCTTCTATGGAAAACCATCCCAGTAATCCCAGTAAGTAAATAGACTTAAATGATGTCAGCCAGTGCCCCAGAAAAAAATGATTCCTTTTTAAGCCTCTATTTAAAGCCAATATCTTCTAAAATGAGCATTGAGTTCACACAGATATCTTTTGAACCTCATATGATGCTTGACACTGTGGGGAAAAAATTCTAGACGATAGACTCTGTGCCCTAAAAAGACCTATTCATCTAGCAAGCCATTAACTAAATTTTGTGTAAGTTTAAAGTGTTTAAAGGTGCATGTTTGCCAATGCAGGAAATGGCACCACTTAACTCAAGGCTAAATAGGGCTCAGTTTTATTTGGGTCCATTAAGTGGTGCTGGTTTTGATCGGTCAAAATGTTGTGCCTACTGTTTCAGCATCCTCCATGAGAGAGAGTGGACAACTGATGAGATTTTAACTGACCACTTTCCCCGAGACAATTGCATTTGTAGATAGGAGGACACAGACTTCTGTCCTGGGGGGGGGCTTCATGGGCTGGAAAGGCAGAGAAGCTGGTGGCTATTCTTCAAAGTGCTGCTGCGAGTAAGAGGGGAGAGCCTGGGCCAAGCAGGCTGAAGCTGTGGCTTCAGGTCTTGCTGCTCAGGGTTTTATGGAGCATATTCTGACAGGCTTAGGGATAGAGGATGGAAGAACCAAGTAAGGAAAAGAACGTGATGGTTGAGGCTGGGGCCTCAGAGGAGGCAGTCCTGATAGCAATCTATTAGCTAAATCCAAATTAAGCAAATGAAGCCACCCACTTAAATCTGAGAGATTCCAAAGCATTCAAGCATGAGAGCTGAAGCCAAAGAAAAGAACAGCATGTGCTGAACGGAAATTTGAAGGTTGACTTAATGTCTGTGGAGGGCAAATCTGAGTGACATCGTACTTCTGAGCAGAATTCATTTGTAAGTGTGAGAAAGTGAGCTTTGATGGTCCCTCTGGAGCACTGAGGAGCCCAAGAGTGAAGGCTTAGGAAATGGCATAAGAGACATTCAATAGTGTGGTGTAATTCTCAAACTTCTTCTTAAAAAATCACCCCCCCAACACCCCCCAAAAAAAGTAAAGGAGAAAAAGCCTTCCTCTTCTCTCTGAGTTGCTGCATGAGTTATACAAAATTCAAAGGTAGGGTGATGTCTGCCAGGAATGGGAAAGGAGAAAGTGCCTGGGTTGTCCTAAAGGTGAACTGCAAAGAGCAGTGGAGGAGGGGGAAGATTGAAGAGAAGCCTAGAAAGGACAGGCTGTCTAACTGGGAGAAACCCCCCCAGCAGGGAAGCCAAGGGCCTGCATGGTACCTGTCTCTGCTACCATCCAGATATCCAAGCAACGTTAGAAAATTCACCCCCTTTCCTTTTTCGCATTGGCTGTCAAGAAGCTCAAAGCTGCTTCTGAACATTTATCTGATCAAGACACAAGCAGAATATTGTAATATTCTTATGGCCAACTGAGTTTAAAAAAAATAAAAAAGGCTGCAGTAGGGCCAGAGGCTGGGGGTTCCAGAGAATGGGCATCTAAGGAATATCCATATTCCATTAGTGGCAGTTCAAGGAGGTTCTGAATTATGAATTGACCTATTATAGGGGTGTGTGTGTGTATACATACACATAAAACATCCCATATATATCTTATATATTAATATATATGTTATGAATTGGACTATTACGTATCATCTATTTTAGGCCCATATATTGGTCTATATTTTTGTTGTACTTATTTCCTCATAGTATATGGCTTTTTATCTTTTATTTCTCTTTACATAACTTTATTTGATGTTAAATGAAAACGTCCTCAATTATTCTTTAGGTAAAATGTGGAGTACACATTTAAAATAATATGTCTCATTCTGTAACTCTGTTCCAGGCACTATACTTTTCCTTCTGTAAGACCATGGCAATAATAATCTTGGCGGTGTGGCAAACCCTGCTCTTCTAAGGACTGGATGAAATCACTTCAAGTAAAACACTTAGTTAATGCCTTGCAGACGTTACATAGTAACTTTAACATTATTGTTATTGTTTTCTCATTTAATGCTTGCAGTAGCCTCATGCAGTGGCTACTATTGTTATTTCCCTTTGGAAAGGAAGGGGTGATAAGAATACGCAAAGCTTCATGGAGAGAGGCGCTGGCCCCATCCTCATTGTCTGTGAGGCAAGAAGAGGCAAAGCTAGGGTTAGGAGCGATCCCTGGCTTCGAAGTTTCCGTCCCAAACTTCTATCCTCTAGGCGTCCCTTGTGTCTGGCCCCCGGGTCAAACGCGGAGGTTGCTTTTCATGCAAGTTCTGGGGTCACCCCCTGCCCCCGCCCCGACCCAGCAGAGCTCTCTTAATACCGACTTCCTCAGGCTCAGTCCAGGCCAGTCGACTCCAGCTGATGGCGGAGAAACGCAGAGGTGAGCGTGGCCTCGCCGGTGGGCTCTCTGAGCCTGGTTTGGGGGAATAGGCGTCAAGGACGTGGGGCAAGTTGGCGTCGCGAAGCCAGCAAGGGAAAGGTAGGGAGGGCGTGACATCATCTGTTCAATCAACAGCCTCCCCTGAGGCTTCCAGAATGCAAAAACATTCCCTTGATTCTCAAAGTGGGTGGTTTACTGATTTCACTGCTTCCACCCCAAATTGAGATGCAGCGGCTTTTAGCCAGATCTGGGCAGGCTCTGGATGTTAAATCCAGCCCTTGACTTATTTTTTTCTTTTTTTTTTTGTAAAGTGAAGGATAACAGTCGCGGTCCCCTCTCTTCCCTCCGTGCCTCCAGGTTCCCGTCGCTGGTCTGGGCGACCCCGGCGCGCCGCGAAGGGACGACCCGCCCGCCAGGTTTGGGGGCTCCTCCGGGGGAGTCTGCGTGAGGTGGGATCTGGAGCAGTCCGCGAGCTGGCGGGCATAGCTCCTCACCGGAGACACTGAAACTGGAGGAGGTTCCCGTCCCGCCAATCTGATTTCCTGCGCTGCTCGCCGCCGCGCGCCGCCCAAGACCCGCGGTTAACTGCAAAAGGGTAGTTTGCTGATCACTGCTGGTTAGATCAATACGGCGAGAGCAGAAAGAAAAGATCCGAAATACGAAAGGTACGTGGCTTTTAAAAGTTTTTTGTTTTTTAATGCAGTTACACTTGAATCTTTATTAAAACACATAGACGCAATTTTACGTATGCATGAAAAAACACAAGTAATTCTGCACTGGTTGCAAAGGAGCTCTTTCCGGTGATGATGGAAATATTTTTCATCTTGTTTGGGAATGGTGATGATCCATGAATTGAGTTGTCAGAACTCGTAGAAACTCTACACTGAAGATCTGTGCATGGTATCGTGTGTAAATTGTACGTCAATTAGAAAATCAGAACGTAATCTTGCATGCATAGAAAGTACTGCGTGCCGTTGCGTAACTGCATACATGAATGCCGATTAAATGCAGCTGTAGATGAGTATTTATAGCAACTAAGCGCAACTCTGTTGGATTATTTAATTATGCAAGCTCCCCGAAGCCGGGAAGGGGAGAAAAACGGCGGCTGACATCACTCGGGGCGGGGCCGAAAGCCCTAAGAAAAGTCGGTAGGACCCGAGCGGCAGGCGCTGCCAGACACCACCTCATCATGAGCAGTCACAACGGCTCCGAGCTCCACGTCCTCTGCAGCTCCGGCCAGCTGTTCTTGCAGCCCCTCTGGGACCGCCTCAGGACCTGGGAGGCCCTCATCCAGTCGCCCTTCTTCCCCGTCTTCTTCTCCATCACCACCTACGTGGGCTTCTGCCTGCCCTTCGTGGTGCTGGACGTCCTGTGCCCCTGGGTGCCCGCGCTACGGCGCTACAAGATCCACCCGGACTTCTCGCCGTCGGCTTGGCTGCTGCTGCCCTGTCTGGGGCAGACGCTCTACCAGCACGTGGTGTTCGTGTTCCCCATGACACTGCTGCACTGGGCGGCCAGCCCCGCTCTCCTGCCCCCCGAAGCCCCCGAGCTGCTCCAGCTGGTCCGCCACGTCGTGCTCTGCCTGCTGCTCTTCGACACCGAGTTCTTCGTGTGGCACGTGCTGCACCACAAGGTGCCCTGGCTGTACCGGACCTTCCACAAGATGCACCACCAGAACTCGGCCCCGTTCGCGCTGGCCACGCAATACATGAGCGTCGGGGAGCTGTTTTCCTTGGGTTTCTTTGACATGATGAACGTCTTGCTGCTCCAGTGCCACCCGCTCACTGTCCTGACCTTCCACGTGGTCAACATCTGGCTGTCGGTGGAGGACCACTCGGGCTACGACTTCCCCTGGTCCACGCACAAACTGGTACCTTTCGGGTGGTATGGGGGCGTGGAACACCACGACCTGCATCACTCCCAGTTTACCTGCAACTTCGCCCCTTACTTCACACACTGGGACAAAATACTGGGAACTCTGCGGTCTGCTCGAGCCAAGTGACATGCAGGCACCCCTCCCGGCGTAGTAGTGGGTGCTGTGGTGAGGGGTGGGTGTACCTCAGACATTGTGCATTTCACCCTTGAATCGGGAGAGACACCCTTGAGGTTGCTTTTTTGTTTTATTTGCTGGAAACTTACAGAGAAAATCTGATGTATTTTTCACAATCTAGTAATTTATGTAATGTTTGTATATCAACAATTATATTCTTGATGTGGAATTTTAGCTCACTTCAATAGCCTTGATATCTGGTTACAAAGTATCCAAAATCACTGGCGTATTTAAATAATCTCTGAAAAGGTTTGTTTGTAGAACAAGGAGTTTTACTCTGTTTGAAGGTGTCCTAGAACTAGGCTAAAATAATATATTTTTATGGAGAATCTGATCTGTGACTCTGTAAACAATGAAACATGTTCCTGCTGGACAGTGACTAAGATTATTGTACCTTTTTTCTTTGTTTTCATAGAGCTGTATATTTATATCGAAGGAAACGTTATTTATGCTTGAAAAAAAGTAAAAAAAGGACATAAACCAAACAAGTACTGGCTTCTGGCATTTTGACTGATAGAAACTGGAATGAGAAGAGGGAGCTGGGATGGCAGGTGCTCTTCAGAGTCTGCATCAGCCCAGCTGTGGAAAGAGGAATCTGGTGGTGGCAGGTTTGGGGGAGGGGAAGCTTGTAGGAAAGGAGGTCAGAGAAGGGATCTGTTTGTTGGTTTGGGTCTAGAGATTTCACAGAGGGAAAAACACTGTTGTTCTGGATGTGTTTTAGTTGATTTCTGTGTAACAGAAAACTGATAAAACTTACTCTGTAAAGTTTTACAGAGAGATTAACACTGGGCCACCATTGCATTATTTGGGGGGGGGAAAGGGTGGTGTTGGGGGATGAGTAGAATTAGTGAAGTGCCTTGCTTTGCAAAACTGGTAAGTCAAGTGTGTGCTTTAAAGGGGCTGATAGGTAGGGGAGGGATTATGAGTGAGCCCCCCCTTTTCATAAAGCCGTCTAATACAAATGACCATCACACATTGTCTCTGCAATCTGAGATTTTTGTATGTTCACTTTTCTTTATGAAGACTTACATGCAAACTGCATACTCGTTTCTCAAAGAAAGAAAAAAGTGAAATTTGGCCCTGGATCCCTAGTTCCTCACCTGCAAAAGGAGATTGATTGTGTCCCAGATGTTCTCATAGATTGCTTGTGACAGTAAATGTGCCTATAACTGACTGCACACCTGTCACCCATCGTGTACCCCACTCTGCTGCTGCACAGTTGTGTTAATTTTATCTGTGGAACACCGTTTAGATAGATAGGGTAAAGTTAAAAAATCAAGACACTTTAGACAAAAGATCTAAAGAAAGGCAGCTTTGCGTGGAATTCTAGGCTCATAATATATGCACAAAACTATCTTGTTTAAAGATGAAAAAAACCCATCTAAAGACTTGATATCCATACTCTGCCAAATGAACCTCCCTAGAAATATGTTGCGGTGCTCCAAACCTTTGCAAGATGCAATCAGAGTGCCTGGCTGCCCCTCTGATTTTCTCACATTCCCTCCCAATGGGCGTGCCCTCTTGGCTTCTGCTGAAGTCACCTCCTCTTCTGTCCGCAGCAGGACCATGCTGGGACTTAAAGATTATATGAAGAATAAAAAGTGAAATTCGCAAGCTCAGGTAGTGAGGGGAAAATGCTTCACTGGAGGTAGTGTGTTATTATCATGAGCCAAACGTTGAGCAGAGAAAGAAAAGGGGGATGAACAGGCTGGGGTAGAATATATACTATTAGTTGCTTTGAGCAGCTTTAGGCATGCAAAAGCAGTCTGCAAATCTTGGATAATGACAATTTGTTACAGCTCCCTTCCAGAGAATTTTTGAAATGGGTCATAATGCCTCACTGTGTAAGGGAATTTCCCATTTAGGACAAATTGTACACATGGGAATTACTTGGGTTCAGAACACTCTCTCAGAGTTGTATGTCTTAGCAGTTTTCGATACCTTGGGGGGTGGAACTGGGGGGGTGGAGAGGATGAGCAATTTCTTGGATAGTTTTGAGAGAAGAAGAACAATGATAATAACAAAATAATGCACATTTGCATGAACTTTCTCACATTGTTTCACTTGTTCCTTACACTCTAAGGGATGTAGAATAGTTATTATATTTTTAATTTTAATTATCATTATTTTTTCATGTTATGGATGGAGACTTGGTATCTGCACCGGTCAAGTGACTTGCTCCGGATGATAAAGTACTAGGATTTGGAGCTGGTTCTTGAACTTAGGTCTTGTAGTGTATACTGTACCTGTCTTTGGGTGGCGCTTATGGTAATCTTCACAACTGCCAGTGAGCTACAAACCCTGCAACACAAACAAATGGCCTCCCTCTGCCATTCCTCCCCTGTCAAACACAGCGTCCGCCATGAATTCAAAGCCTCTGCTTGGCAGGGGAGAAAGCCAAATTAATCTCAGCAGGGCTTGGGAAAGCATGAAGCAGGTCAGAGGCTCTGTTTTCTGTACCCCTCGTTGCACATCAGGGAAGAGTACACATGCTGAAGCCAGAGGGGTGTGGGGGGAAACTTGACTTGGGGCTTAACTAGCTGAGTGACTCTGGACAAGTTACTTAACCTCTCTGTGCTTGGCTTCCTCATCTGTAAAATGTAGTTAATTATAGAACCTACCTCCTAGAGCTGTTGTGAGAGATTTTGAGCTACTCTGTGTGAGTGCTAGGTGGGTTGGAGGTCTGGACTGTATTTGTGTTTGCTACAAATGATGCTTCACGATGTGAGCTCCAGGACTGTACCAGGATCGTAACCTTCTGTCCACACAGATGTTTGAGCTCTCCTGTCTACAGGGAACCAAAAAAAGTGTTGGAAAGAGCCAGAAGTCTGTGTTTGTCTGATTCTGTTTCCTTACCTCTGAGTCATCCCACTCCCACCTCTTCCTGAGACTTTCACTCCCTATTCACTGCTATCTTCCTAATGATCAAATCCAACGATTTCCCACCCTTGATTTTCCATCTCCTTGGCTTTTTTTTTTTTTGTGGTACACGGGCCTCTCACTGTTGTGGCCTCTCCCGTTGCAGAGCACAGGCTCCAGATGCGCAGGCCCAGCAGCCATGGCTCACAGGCCCAGCTTCTCCACAGCATGTGGGATCTTCCCGGACCGGGGCACGAACCCGTGACCCTTGCATCGGCAGGCGGACTCTCAACCACTGTGCCACCAGGGAAGCCCCTCGGCTTTGTTTTTAAGGTATTTGTTTCTGCTCACCAGCCTCTTAGAATGTGGTTCTTGCTTGGTTTTAGTGATGCTTCTCTATGTTGTTTTCCTTCCCAATTCTCCAGCTGTTTCTCCTTCCTTCAGTGGCTGCACGCTCTCCTCAGCAGGGAGGCCAGCCTCAAGGTGCTTCTCATTTTATTAAAAAATATCTATGTTGTGTGTAATGACGATCCTTCCTACCATCTTCTGGTGCACCCTCTAAATCTCTGCTGGCATTGCATTCCAGTGCACACGTGGGCACTTCTACGTGCACAGGCCATGTGAATGTGTATAAGTGCACGACATATGTATACACACTGTCTATGTACCTACCACGTACAAACTATATGTCCACACACTGTTATACGGACACAGACATGCATTTGCCCAGTATATATGTGTATGTGAACATACACGGTATATGTATGAACACTATATATGTACAAACATACTTTATACACCCTATACATGTATATATGTACCCATAATATGTATATACACTATATATATACATGTTCAAACGTGACATATATGTGTACATATATAGAGACATTATATACATACATCTACCATATATATGTGTATGTAATATGCATATGTATATATACAGATATATGTGTATATGTGTATATATATATATATACTCCTCTCTCTAACTACACACACACACTACTATTTCGGTCCTGTTTAACATTCATCTGTGCCCCTAGTACTATGCCTCGTTCTTGATAAATACTGGTTCAGTGTTGTGTGAATCCTGGAAGCAGTAGAAACACAGATTTGCCATTAATCATGTTTTTCTTCATTCATTCCATCTTCCATCACTAGTCCATCCTAGCTTCCTAACTAAGGCCATGCCCACAACCCATAATCTCTGTTCTAGAGAAGTTCACAGTCTACTGGGAAGGAGAATCAGGCAAGCAAATGCATCTAATCTAATGTAGTTAGTGCTACACTGGGGGTGTGTTAACAGGTTGTTAAGGGAGCCCAAAGAAAGGTCCTTTGAACACTAGAAATCATGAAAAATTTGTATGCATTCACTGGGCGGGGTAAAGGGCATACCTGGAAGAAGAAACAGCACGTAAATCAGAGAGGGATGAAATAACAGGATATGCCAGAAACATGGTGGGAAGCTCCAAGCACTGGGTGACCAAGGAAGGAACGTCAAGGCATGTTGTCTCACCACTTGACAAGCTATTGAAGCTGCTTCGAACCGCTTGCTCGTTTGCCTATGTCACAGGGATTTGGGAGATGGTATGGAAAATTGCTTTGAAATGAACATTAGGCCTTGCTATTATTTGTTGATTTATAATGAGTACATGGATGAATTGAAAACTGGACTTGGAAATGACATGCTAATAAGCTTAGGTTGTATTCTTTCGGCGATGGTGGGGGACAGGGGTGAGAGTTCCACAGACCTTAAGCAAAGGGGTGATGTGATCAGATCTGGTGGAAGAAGGTAAGTGGCAGCAGGGAATGGTAGTGGTGATTCCAGTTAGGACCGTTGCAAGTTCTGCCTGGGTTCTAATCCTGCCTCCACCATTTAGGAACTTTGTGTGTTTGAGCAGATTACTTCATCTAAGGCTCAGATTCTTCATCTGGAAAAACAGGGTGATAATACCTACTTGTAGAATTATGGTGAGGAATAAGGAGGATATTTAGAGAATTTAGCACTCTGCCCCACATAGAGCAAAAACTGTAAATAGTAGCTCTTTTGTTAGAAGTTGTTACAAAAGGGTAATAATTGCAAGTGTGAGATGATAAGCCTGCAGCAAAACAAGCCGAGAGAGAGGTGGAGACTAAGACATAGATTTCTCTTAACATAAAAGTAACACGTGGTCATGGAAAAATTTCAAACCTAGAGAACAGTGTAAGGTAAAAAGTAACAAGCATCCCCATTCAATGAACTTACTTCCACCACAGATATAATCAAAGTTAACCCTTTTTTTGGTTGCCAAACGGAAAGTCAGTCATTCAGTATCCTTTTTTCGCTCTTTCTCCCTTTCAGCTGGGATGCATTAAGTGGTTTGCATTGAATGAATGCATTAAAATAAAAGGAAGTTCGTGTGAACAGAAGTTCTCTGGACAAAGGCCCAAGAGCATTTCCTCCTTCTAAATATCTTTTGCTTATTTCTTTTTTCTATTCCTTTTGATCACTACTCAAAACAAGAAGAGAAACTCAAGTTGTCTCTCTTCACAGCGCACAGAACTGCCCGGGGCCAGAGGAAAAGCAAGGTTTTCCTTGCTTCCCCTTCTCACGCCTAGAGCGTTTCTTTGGTGCCTCTTA